GGTCCTGGGGAAGGTTTAGGACAGAGCTAAAAGACTGATGTTTCTCACTGTGGTCCTGGGGAAGGTTTAGGACAGAGCTAAAAGACTGATGTTTACAGTCTCACGGTGGTCCTGGGGAAGGTTTAGGACAGAGCTAAAAGACTGATGTTTACAGTCTCACGGTGGTCCTGGGGAAGGTTTAGGACAGGGCTAAAAGACTGATGTTTCTCACGGTGGTCCTGGGGAAGGTTTAGGACAGAGCTAAAAGACTGATGTTTCTCACGGTGGTCCTGGGGAAGGTTTAGGACAGAGCTAAAAGACTGATGTTTACAGTCTCACGGTGGTCCTGAGGAAGGTTTAGGACAGAGCTAAAAGACTGATGTTTACAGTCTCACGGTGGTCCTGGGGAAGGTTTAGTACAGAGCTAAATGACTGATGTTTACAGTCTCACGGTGGTCCTGGGGAAGGTTTAGGACAGAGCTAAAAGACTGATGTTTACAGTCTCACGGTGGTCCTGGGGAAGGTTTAGGACAGAGCTAAAAGACTGATGTTTACAGTCTCACGGTGGTCCTGGGGAAGGTTTAGGACAGAGCTAAAAGACTGATGTTTACAGTCTCACGGTGGTCCTGGGGAAGGTTTAGGACAGAGCTAAAAGACTGATGTTTACAGTCTCACGGTGGTCCTGGGGAAGGTTTAGGACAGGGCTAAAAGACTGATGTTTACAGTCTCACGGTGGTCCTGGGGAAGGTTTAGGGCAGAGCTAAAAGACTGATGTTTAAAATCACTAAATCTTCCCCAGGAAAATCATTATAATTTATGTGAAACAAAAAGAGAGACATTTTCAAAAATATTTTAAGGTACATATCATCTGTGCATCTGACTAATTTTTTTCACGCCCCTCGAGAAACGGCTGGGCCTTATGGGAACAATGCCGGTCAAACTCTAAACCCTCGACGAGCGCAAAAAGTGACCACGAGAAAAATATTTCTTCTCATCGACCCCTGTCCCTGATATTTTATGAGGTCGTAGACCAATGTATCTGGACGCCAGAAAAAACGGTTCATATTTGGGAAAAATCAGTAAAGCGTTTAATGCTAACATTTCGTATTTCCCAATATAGGCCTATGCTTTGTAATTTATGTGAAAAATAGATGGTGCTTTTCAAATTTTTTATGGTACTTAATCTCTGTAGATCTTGCTAATTTTTTTGTATGTGCCTCGATAAATGGATAGGTCGTATGGGAAAACTGTCAGACTGTATGTACTAGCCGATGGCTAAAAACTAACTGCGAGTGAAACATTCTTATATAAGCTATATTTTTTTTTTAAAAAACTCGTCAAAAATAGCTTGTTGGCGGAGATCGACCCACGGGTAAAGCAAAATAAAATGTGCAACATTCGGGAAAATCCATGAAGGTCTTAAATGACCAGACGCCGTTTATCCTTAAACTTTGTTTTTTTTTTTTGTGAAAAAAAAAACACATAACAAATAAAGACGATTTTATTCGGACTATGTGTAGGAATAGTAACTTTCTAAAGTTGATATTCAAATAATTAATGTTATCATGCGGATCCCATGCCATCTATAATAAATGTGGGCACATGCATAATTTCTATTATGTAGACAAAATAATATTTTTTTCTCACTTGCTTGACAAAGACGATGATGTTGATGAGATTCGCAATAATTCCAAGAAAACTCAAAACAGAATGGACAGCAGACGACAAAATGAAGTCCACCATTTGCCATACAGGATCGTCTGCCCAGTGGTCAAGTGGGTTGCCGTCGTCAGGTTTGGTAGTCGTAGACCTGACGATGAGAGAACTGATGTTCAGGTCAGTAGCCATGGTTGTTCAGTTCTTGAGTTGCTTCAAACGTTCATGAGTTCAGTATGTCTCGTTCTTCTCATTAGCTGGTATCTGATAACAGGATAGGGACATTTCAAAAACAGTAATCAGAGCATCGCAAAGACTAAAGAAAGTTATTCATTACATTTTTAAAAAGTTTGAAGGATAAATTGCAGTGATAATACCCCTGTGTTTTAAAATAAAGTTTGTGTTGTTGCTAGGCAACAAATATGTATAGGAGCGTTCAAAGAAAATTTATTTGTGTAATCAGAATCTCTGAATCTAAACAAGTGACTGTCGCTAATTAAATCAGGCTGACTACATAAGGAACGTTTCACAAGAAATGGATGACTAGCTAATGGTTCTATAGTTCTTAAAACACAGCAACATACATGTATGTACATTTTATTGTTAGTATATAATATTTATTATATTATTCAATACATTAATTTACCTTCTTTATGTTATATTAGATAGTATTTTACTTGTATGTATTTAATCAGTTTTATGATTTTATTTTCGGAAAATATCACATGTAGCGTACATTTGTTTATTTCTATGAATTGTTAGCTAAAATACAATAATTAATTTTTGTTTGCTGTAAATTAAAAAAAAAAGACAATAATTAAATCTTGTTTATATATATATATATATATATATATATATATATATATATATATATATATATATATATATATATATATATATATATATATATATATATATATATATATATATATATATATATTTACATTTGTAAATTTAATTCTTATAGTGTGTATGTATTCAAAATTGCGAATAATCTTGGACGTCAAAATGTTTTATAAACAAGTAGATCGATATATTGATGACATCCTGACCAGCTAGATGACGCAACTCTAAACGTCTGATTTAAGCTCCGCTCACTAGAAAGACCGAAATGACGACAGGCTAACAAGCGCGGCCACTCAATATCCAAACCTTCTTTTATACAAGTGGCTCTCAAGGGTCCTCCATACAGAGATCGCTTGTCTCCCAGATCTTCTAGAACCTTTCGTCCGATGGAGATGGAAACACAATTAAAATGGTATAACATTACAAAATCGATGCCAGAAATGTTTTGTTAGTGACCTGATATTTAAAAATAACATTTCAAGTGTTGAGAAACTTTAACCATTATTTAAAATACAAATTACGGATACAACTTTAAAATGCGAGAAACTGTAAGCATCACTTTTTAAAATGACGGTTACCACAAAATGAGTCAAGAAATCTCAAGAGCTCAGAAAATATTCGAGTTATCACTTTCAAAACTGGGCGTTGTGAATTAGCTGAGCGACACTTGCATAATGACACACACACTCACACATGAACAGAAATTTGAACTGGGAAATATTTCTTCAGTGAGCCAGTGACTATAATTCTACAAAGAAGAAATCTATTTCCGTCAGATTTTCAATAACTGATGCATGCAGCCAAAAAACATGTAGTATCTTTTTAATGTAACTGTTTTTTTTAAACAACTTGCGTGAATATTTGGCAAATTGCGTTTACACCTAACTACAATAATGTACCAGATATTTTTTTACATTACGTAGTGTTGGAAATTTAGGTTAGGTGTTTTTTATAACGTCGTAAGTCTGAAACTTTTAAAATATATTAAACTAAATCAAATTGAGAGAAAATACAACATTAAAACTAGCTGCGTTATTTTCCTATCGTAAAATATATTTTAATATTGCAATGATAGCAAAAGAATAACCTTAATTGGTAAATTCTCTTATTTTACTATAGCCATCTTGGATGTAACACACTATGTAGTTGGAGACATGGAGTCAATTACACTCTAAAGTCCGAACATTAACATAACATTTTAATCTAACTGGAGTCAATTACACGCTTAAGTCCGAATATTAACATAACATTTTAATCTAACTGGAGTCAATTACACTCTAAAGTCCGAACATTAACATAACATTTTAACATAAGGTGGCTAGCTACAGGTGTACACGTGAGGTAATCTAATTCATCAACGTTCAGATTCTATTCTCACTGTTAGACCGTCACTTTAGTAGGCGATGTCCAAGCAGGCCTCTTGTAAACACGAGTACTGCAGGATAGTGGTCATCACATAGCTAGGTAAACATTTGGTTTCAGTTGTTTATTTTAATTGGTTTGTAAATTTCGTTTAATTTTTTTTTTAAAAGTTTGCTTTTCAAGTTTCATGGTATTCAATAGTAAAAATAAAGTCCATATTTACTTTTTAAATATTTTATCATTGACTAACTAACTGGCTTTGTATAATTAAGCCGACATTCCCTAATATTCATTAAATAATTCTAATTAAAAATTGTGGAACTACTATGGCCGACAATCTGTTGGAGTATTTAAATAACAGACACCACAATGTAAGTCAACATGAGCCCGCTGATGGCTAAAAACTAGTCACAACAATGTTTTGATGTTTTGTTCATTACAAGCTTTAACTTGCACTCACTTCCTCTGTCTGTCTAGATCGAAACGCCCGAGCGAAATTGCAGGCACTTCTAACTGACAGATACGGTTCGTAGTTGGTACGTGGGTCAAGACATAAAGACAATGCAAAATGACATTAAATATGAATTATCTGGTTACCTGATTAATTTTTTATTAATTATTTAAAATTGTGTCTAAATTAGTAGGCTGTCTCATCAAACTATTCAGCGCTATTAGACACGCGTCATCACGTTCAATAGGTGCGCAATGATTTTTAGTCATGCAACTCTAGTGTAAATAAAACATGTAAAGTACTGAACATTTTTTCATAAAAGCGTTTTAATAACAAGCTTTTATGTAATAATGCATTAAAAAGTAGAAAATAAATTATACACTACTATTTAAATAACTATAAAGAAAAGCGTGGGTCACTTCCTAAATATTAGTAAAGGTATCCAATATATACTAAAGTGACCCACGCTTTTCTTTATAGTTATTTAAATAGTAATGTATAATTTATTTTCTACCTTTTAGTGCATTATTACATAAAAGCTTGTTATCAAAACGTTTTTATGAAATATTTTTTTTCTTGTGTGTAATCTCTGAGGGTTCTGCGAAAGTGAATATACTGGTCTAGACATGAAGCTGCACATGTCTAGTCTGGTCTAGACATGAAGCTGCACATGTCTAGTCTGGTCTAGACATGAAGCTGCACATGTCTAGTCTGGTCTAGACATGAAGCTGTTGAAGATCTTCCTGTAGCGTGAACTCATGCTGTAGTAGACCAGGATGTTGACCGAGCTACCGATGGACTCGATGGTCAAGATGCAGGCTCTGACCATCAGGAAGGTGTTCTGTTCCACCACGTAGCCTGGGGTCTTGGAGATGACCAGGACAAAACTCACGCAGTTGGGCAGCGTGAAGGCTAAAAATAGACTGGACAGCAGCGCCACCATGCGAGTGACCTTGACATCACGATTCGCTGGCGTTAAAGCAGAAGTCGTCGAGTTGCGCTTCCGCCATCTTGACTTGACGTGAAGCTGCTGGATGGTGAAACAGGCGCAGCCAAGGTCCAGGATGTAGGTGACGAACTGCGAGACGACGCTGAAGTTGTAGCCGATGTTCTCGATGTACGCACCATTGGGGGAGTACCTCGCTCTGTACTGGCTGGAGTTTTTGCCGGCTATAAAGACCGTGAAGACCTGCCGGCTGAACCAAAATGGGGACATGCCGGCAATGTGGACGAGGGCGATGAGGGTCAGGATGAGCAGAGTTCTCCGGGGTGTGAGTACGTCTCGCACGTGCAGGGGCAGGGAGATGCAGAGACACCGTTCAAAGGTTATGAAGGTCGTGATCCACCACGCTATCCGCACACAGATAGAGCGAGGTATGGCTGAAATAAGACAGGTAACATAAGACAGGTAACATGATAAGACAGGTAACATAAGACAAGTAACATGATAAGACAGGTAACATAAGGCAGGTAACATGATAAGACAGGTAACATAAGACAGGTAACATAATGAGACAGGTAACATGATAAGACAGGTAACATGATAAGACAGGTAACATGATAAGACAGGTAACATAATACAGGTAATATAAGATAGGTAACATGATAAGATAGGTGAGGTCATGACCTACTGGCTGTGTAGTAATGTATGGCCACCAGCGGGATCTCAGGACTGGCCAGGCTGGGGTTGTAGCAGACGCTCTCCCACGTCAGGAAGACCAAACTGACCAGGTCAGCCACGGACAAACTCAGGAGACTCACGTTCACAGACGTGGACAGGCTCTGTAGACAGGTTGGTTCAAGGGTGAAGTTTGGTAGGTGGTGACATATCTAAGGTGGTGACTTTTGTTAGGTGGTGATATTTGTTAGTTGGTGACATGTATAAGGTGATGACATTTGTTGACATTTGATAGTGATGTTGTAAAAAGCTGACATATTGACATCAGTAAGATCATGACACATGACAGATGGTGACATATGTTGATCTGCTAGACACATGACATATGGTGGCATATGTTGATCTGCTAGACACATGACAGATGGTGACATATGTTGATCTGCTAGACACATGACAGATGGTGACATATGTTGATCTGCTAGACACATGACAGATGGTGACATATGTTGATCTGCTAGACACATGACAGATGGTGACATATGTTGGTCTGCTAGACACATGACAGATGGTGACATATGTTGATCTGCTAGACACATGACAGATGATGGCATATGTTGATCTGCTAGACACATGACAGATGGTGACATATGTTGGTCTGCTAGACACATGACAGATGGTGACATATGTTGATCTGCTAGACACATGACAGATGGTGACATATGTTGGTCTGCTAGACACATGACAGATGGTGACATATGTTGATCTGCTAGACACATGACAGATGGTGACATATGTTGATCTGCTAGACACATGACAGATGGTGACATATGTTGATCTGCTAGACACATGACAGATGGTGACACATGACAGATGGTGACACATGACATATGATGACATATGTTGATCTGCTAAATGTTCACAACCCTACCTGTTTAGTGAAGATAATTATGTTAATGATGTTAATTATGTTAATGATGTTAATTATGTTAATGATGTTAATTATGTTAATGATGTTAGCTAATGAGCCAACCACGCCCACAATAAAATTGACCACAACGTATAAAACCATCTCGACAGTCCTTCTGACGTCATCGCTGATTAGCTGTTGGTCAGCTGTCCGGCTGTTGACAGCCAAGACAGAGCTGTTCTTGACAATCTCCTCACAGCTGTAACAGACCTCCATTTTGCTATCAATTAGCTTAATGAGCAACTTATTACTTGTCTACTACACCTAATTTGTTACGACCAATCATCCAAGTTTACAAGGAACATTTTTGTTCCCGGTAAAATTGTTCCAGCCTTGAAACTCGAGGAGCTTAACTCAAAAGTCGCTCCACTGGTCTGCTGAGCTAAAGCTCAATGTTATAGATTTAGAAAATAAAACAAATTATATTATTTCTTAGCGGTTTTTAAATTACAAGAATTCATGTTTTATTGCGCTAACATTTTGTTTTTTAAAAAGGATTTCACTTCAACCCTTCCATTAAATCTATTGAATTGTATGTACTTATTCATAGTTCCAATGAGGCTGTTATTAAAGTATTCCAGGAGAAGATCGATCAGGTAAAATACTTACGATTATTTTGTGATTGTAGATAATTCCAGGCTTGAGTAGATTATTCAGCGCTAGACAAAACGTTTAGCTTTTGATGTGATCAAAATAAAAACTAGAATCACTATAAGATTACAGGACCGTCTCTACAGCGATGTCCGACTGTTGGTTACATCGGCAAAACAGCTGGAATTTTAGTGTTTTATTGCTGCTCTTAAAGAATTAAAATTGTTGGGTGTTTGGTGTGGTGATGTGTATGAAAGGTGTGTACGTGGGTCGGATCACTGTGTGTGTGTGCGTGTGTGTGTTAATAGTGGTGCGAGAGGCCGGGTGTGTTGACGTGTATGTTGTGTGGAGTGAACGAGGGTAACACGGGAAGCGACTGGTCGAGTGACAGCGGGTGTGTTGTGAGCGAGAGAAAGGTGTGAAGGTTGAAGGTGGATGGCAGATGGAGGTCACGGTTGGTGGGAAGGACACAATAAAAATATATTAAACTATTCATGCCGTAACCCAAGAGTTTTGTTGATGTGTTCCGATACTTGTCACATGAGATTCCTGACGCCCTCACATATTTGGTGGAGCTGCAGAGACCACAAATTGGGGAACAGACGTGTGCCACCGATTGAACAAGCTAACCTCATGCCGAGTAAGATAAGTACCACTTTTATTTTTGTTTGATTGAACTAGTTTATCGAATAGAAACATAGAGGAATCAGAAAGTTCGGGTAAAATATAAAGTCTCGGAAGGAGTAACGGCTTCGAGGGAGAGAAAATGGACGAGTGGGCGGAAAAAAAAAGATTAAATGAGAGCGAAAAAAGGAGTGTTAGCTGGAGCAGGAAAGGAAGAGAAAATATGGAGTCAGAGGCGAAAATAGAAGTAGAAAAGATGAAGATGGAAACAGTAATAGAATTCGAAAGGAGGAAGTAGGAACTGGACTGATCTACGGTCACCACAATCTAACAATGAACAGCCTGTCACAGACGCCAAAGTTTCATGAGGAGGGTGAAAACAGATCCAGACATTAGAAGCTTCGAGACTGTGGCGAACTTAAACTGCATGGGCGAAGAACAGAGGGGGACACAACTGCTGGTCCTAATAGGAGGTAAAGCCTTATAGAAAATAAATTAAAAGCTAGATCGAAACAGCCAAAGTAGAGAGGAAGGTGATAACATATTTGAATTCATCTTTATCGATAAAGCGTTAAAGTCAGTAGACAAGCAGTTGTTAAATAACTTGCAGGAAAGAAAACCTACCACGTTCAAAGATGTAACCGAACAAAGTCAAAAAACATTATATTCCACACATATAGACCAATACCAAATAAAGATCCAGAGTTCGACTCGGTTTACTTCGCAAAGATGACGAGTGGAACAACAAAACACGCAATGACAGAGACGAGAAAAACCAAAGTGACAGCCGACGTTCTACACGAAACAGTGGAGCTAGATACACGGTGAGGTGTTTCCACTGCCACCAACTGGGCCACCAGAAGGGCCTGTCCCTATAGCGAGTTGGCTGTGAGCAACCGACCCAGTGGACCCCACCATCCCCAGTGTATGCAAGCACACACAAGAGACACGATAACCTCGCCCACCACAACACATCACAGGACCATCTTTAAGGCGACGTCTGAATATTGGCTACACCAGCAAAACGGTGGCAATTTTGGTGTGTTTTATAGCTTTTTTAAGAATTAAAATTGTTGGGTAATTGTAGGTGTGTCAAACGACCGTAAAAACACCATTTTCGCCAGCGTCTCCCAAATGTAGTAGCTTTTCACTTCATAGTTTCTATAAAAAAAGGGCTCGTATAGTAATAAGCTTGATAGAATTAAAAATTAGATTTTAAGCCTTCTTATTAGGCGTAATTTTTAAAGCTATTGATATAACACAATATATCTCATTTACCAATTGAAAACTATCACCGAGATGATTTTTCAACGGCAGTCGAGTAGGGGATTTTGACCCCTCTCTCATTCAACTCGCGGGCCTTTTTTTTTGACCGTTCAACGTATGTCTTTCCAGATAACTGTAAAATGCGAAGAATTTGATAGTCTTTAGTGGGATATTAAACAAAAAAATGCTTAATAGACGAAACATTTTAAATGTTAAAAAAATAAAGAAATTTGAAAATTACCATGTGATTCTGACATTGTTTAGATTATTTTAACATTTTCCGAAAGGTAGTCTTTTTTTTCTGTTAAATATTAAAATTGTTTATCATTTCTCAGCATGGTAAAAAATTGCCGAGCTCGACAAAACACACTATAGCGATCACTAAAATAGCTGTAGGCCCAGTCGAAGAAAATGGCCGTTTTCTTCGTTAAACAACGCTCCACAAAGCTTTTCTAAATTGATGTTAGCATGTTTTAGATGCTTGATAATACAGTAAAATAAATAAAAACATGTAGCTACTTAATAAATACGTTTATCAGTCTGGTTTCCATGGCAACCATATTTTCAGAAAAGTCCCTGGTACATGCAAATATTTTCCATTAAGTACCCTAACTTATACATACACAAATAAGTAAAAAAGGCTTATTAATTAAAACGTTTTTTTCCCTGTTTTTTTGCCGAAGCCTACCGCCTTAATGAAGTTTGTATCAATTTTTATGCCATTTTTGTATGCAATGTTTGGTTTGTTAGCAATATTGACGTAATTAAAATCTGAAATCACGCCTAATTACGTTTTGTCTAATTACCGTGGACACAAATTATATTTGATAAGATTGATATATTTTTTTTACAAAGATGGGGTGTTGTTAAGCTGACACAGCCAAGTACAGTTTTCATGCTCACAAAACTTGTCGATGAAAACTGTTTTGTAGCAATACATTTTAATGCAAACTTTATTATTTAAGGGATATGCTGATTGTTGCTCACTAAATTTGTCTCTGGAAATGGTAAATACTACATTAATTTTAATTTGTATTCATGAATAGAACAAAGGCTGTCGACAAAAGATCCGCAAAAATACGACATAGACTGCTGGCAAAAGGTCCTAAGAAATACGACATAGACTTCTATTGTGTCGTCAGGTTTGGTGTGTCATGGTGTGTTGTCAGATCTACTGTATCGTCAGGTCTGGTGTGTCGTCGGGTCTAGTGTGTAAAAAGTTTCCCTTTCAAACCTGAAGTTCTATGGGGCAAGTGAAGTAGAGTTCACTTGTTTCTGTGACCTCGGCATATAAAGAGATAGTGTAGTCAGCACTATGCCCAGCCGCCTTTACTTTCCCTGACGTGTGTTAGGTACCCATCAGAGTTGGGTGGACTCAGGGACGACCTACTCCAGCTCTCTACCGCTAGACCACTCCGTCCAGGTCTACTGTATCGTCAGGTCTAGTGTGTCGTCAGGTCTAGTGTGTCGTCAGGTTTAGTGTGTCGTCAGTCTGGTGTGTCGTCAGGTCTAGTGTGTCGTCAGGTCTAGTGTGTCGTCAGGTCAAGTGTGTCGTCAGGTCTAGTGTGTCGTCAGTCTGGTGTGTCGTCAGGTCTAGTGTGTCGTCAGGTCTAGTGTGTCGTCAGGTCAAGTGTGTCGTCAGGTCTAGTGTGTCGTCAGGTCTAGTATGTCGTCAGGTCTACTGTGTTTGTCTCAGTGTACTCATGTTATGGGACATCTATCGCCATTATGTTTGGTGTATTTTGACTTCAGTAAATCTTTTGTTTTTCATTAACCGCTGACTCGTGATGGTAATTCATAGATGGTTAAGCTAGTCTAACTGTTTAATAGTAAATAAAAACAGACACAAATCTTGAATTGTATTTTTGCTTTTACAACAGCAATCACTGTAAATCATGAGGTATAAAATGTGTAAATTTTTAAACTGAACTTTACCACGCGTTATTCGCTTTTTAAGGCTTCAAATTTTTATTTGAATCTAGAAACGTCATTTGAATTTTTTTTTTCATAAAAACGTTTTAATAACAAGCTTTTATGTGATAATGCACTAAAAAGTAGAAAATAAATTAGATCTATACACTACTAAATTACTATAAAGAAAAGCGTACTTTACGTGTTTTATTTACACTAGAGTTGCTTGACTAAAAACCATTGCGCACCTATTGAACGTGATGACGCCCTATTGAACGTGATAACGTGTGTCTAATAGCGCGAAATAGTTTGATGGGACAGCCTACTAATTTGGACACAATTTTAATTAATTCATAAAAAAATTAATTAAGCAACCAATTAAGTCAAATTTAATGTCATGTTGAATTGTCTTCATGTCTTGACCCACGTGCCAACTACGAACCCTATCTGTCAGTCAGAAGTACCTGCAATTTCGCTCGGGCGTTTCGATCTAGACAGACAGACTGACGACAGACTGACGAGGACGTGAGTTAAATAAAAACTTGTACAAAAATTCTTAAAAAATGTTTTAATATCAAACATTTGTGTAATAATGCACCAAAAAGTAGAAAATAAATTATACACCATTATTTCAATAATAATAAAGAAAAGCATGGGTCTCTTTTTAAATATTAGTAAAGGTATCCAATAGATACTAAAGTGACCCACGCTTTTCTTTATAATTATTGAAATTGGAGTGTATAATTTATTTTCTACTTTTTAGTGTATTATTACATAAAAGCTTGTTATTAAAACATTTTTTATGATTTTTTTTTCTGTACTTTAAATGTTATAAATTTCGAATATAGTTGCATGAGTAAAAACCATGTGCACCTATTGAATGTGATGACGCGTGTCTAATAGTGTGAAATAGTTTGATGAGACAGCCTACTAATTTTTACACAATTTTAATTAATTCATAAAAAATTAATTAGGCAACCAATTAAGTCAAATTTAATGTCATGTTGCGTTGTCTTAATGTCTTGACCCACGTGCCAACGCTGAAACAAATCTGTCAGTTAAAAGTGTCCAAAATTTCGCTCGGGCGTTTCGATCTAGATTCTAGACAGACGGACTGATGACTGACGACAGACAGACAGAGACAGTGAGTTAAATAAAAGATTGTAACAAAATGTTAGCCTGTTTAAAATAAAGCCTTTATTTGTGAAGTTAATTTGATTTGTGTTTAATGTATTTTATATATGAAGAAAGTTGTAATCGGAACCGATTTTCAAGACGGGTCAGATTGATCTTGAGACTGGGTAGAAAATATAAGCACTTTTACTGTGGTACTAACTATGGGATTTTAGTAATTTCAAGTAATTTCATAAGATCACAAATTTTGTCATTGAGGTAAAAATAATAAAATGTAAAAATTATTTAATAATAATATTTTAGAAACGCAAACCAAATTCTTTGGTATAGATGTCAGAGCCGTTTTGGTTAAAGTTATCAGTAAAATTGTAATTACTCAGAGTATAAAGTTATCAGTAAATTTTGCTTCCTCGGTAACTATTGGTCTTATGATAAACCAATAGAACTTCTCAAATAAATATACAAAATGCTTCAAGGCTGATGAATCGAAATGCAATCCCTTTTGGTGCTAATCAAATCACAATCCACTGTAAGTTTTGAACAAATCACAATCCACTGTATGTCTTATCAAATCACAATCCACTGTAGGTCTTATCAAATCATAATCCACTGTAGGTCTTATCAAATCACAATCCACTGTAGGTCTTATCAAATCATAATCCTCTGTAGATCTTGACCAAATCACAATCTACTGTAGGTCTTGACCAAATCACAATCCACGGTCGGTGCTGTTAAAATCGCAATCCACCGTAGCTACTGATTTAATCAAAATCAACTGTAGATGCTGTTAAAATCACAATCCACCGTAGCTACCGATTGAATAAAAATCAACAGTAGATGTTGTTAAAATCACAATCCACCGTAGCTACTGATTGAATCAAAATCAACTGTAGATGCTGTCCGAACGAAGTTGTGCATGCGGTTGAGATAGCCCAGAGCAACCGGCAAACATCTCACGCAACGTGTTTTTGTATTTAGAATTCATCTTGTAGTAGAGAAATATATTCACACTCGAGTTCAACCCACCCAGGACAAAGTTAAAGGACCAAATAAAGAAAAAAGTATTCTGATGAAATCCTATGATTGTCATCCCATCGACCAGAAGACATACAAAAGAAAACGCTATGCTGGGCACAGTACAGAATATCTGAATGGTGGCTATAATTAGGACCATTTTTACCACTTTCTTTTCTCGACTTGAACTCGCTTTCAGCGGGTCGCTGGTTCTCGCACTCCGCCTGCGGACCATCAAATGAAGTTGCCAGACAATTAGAGAGGTGAACATTATCAACAGAAATAACGCCATCAAACCTAACATTGCGTTGATGAGAAACGAATATTTGTCCACGGTTCCATTGTTGATCACGTGAATCCCGATTTTCGTTACGTTGCTTCGCGGATAAAATTTCCAATCGTAGTAGATGGAGGAGTAGCTGGGCATTACCATGATTATCGAGATGACGAAGATGATGAAAATGAGACCTTTAGTCCTTTTCGGCGTGATGATCTGCTTTGCTTTGTGAGGGTATTTTATATTGATGTATCTTTCAGCGGTGATGAAGGCCATGATGAGACACGTGATCCTGGTGAAGCAGACGTTGGGCCAGCCAGTGATGAGGTACTGGACCTCCCTGGTGTTGACTGGTGTATCAGAAAACTCCACCAACGGGTTCATCCAGATGGAATATTCGAACAAAGTGACCAGAGTTAGTAGGTCAGCTAATGACAAGGCAAACAGGCTGATGTTTGTTGTAGTTTGAAGTCCTTGTTTGTAGAACACCACCATGTTGATGATGTTGGATATCATCCCAAAGACAGACAAACTTCCGCCTAGGATAACATAATTAACAATCTCTGTGACGAGTTGCAGTTCTGGGTTTATTAGAGTATCTCTTGGGTCGTTTATACGTACCATTCTTTAGGCGATCTGTTTATAAAATTTGATAAACCCAAACCTTCCAGAGTTTCTACCTTAACAATAAAAATAATTTTATTAGCTTCATAAATAAATATACAAAATTAAAGAACATTTACTCTATAGTTTTCTTCACCAGTACAAATGCCTGAATTAAACCAAAGACTTGCTGCAGGATGATATGGAACTGTAAAAAAAATTCATTAAAAAAACGTTTTAATAACAAGCTTTTATGTATTAATGCACTTAACAGTAGAAAATAAATTATACACTACTATTTAAATAACTATAAAGAAAAGCGTGGGCCACTTTAGTATCTATTGGATAACTTTACTAAAATTTAGGAAGAGACCCACGCTTTTCTTTATAGTTTTTTAAATAGTAGTCTATAATTTATTTTCTACTTTTTAGTGCATTAGTACATAAAAGCTTTTTTTTTTTAAATTTACACTAGAGTTACATGACTAAAAACCATTGTCAAGTAAGTTTATAGCGAAAATTTCAGTAAAGTATTATGGGATGGCGTAGTCTAGTGGTAAAGAACTATCTGCTAACCAGATTAGAAACCATTGCTCGCCTGTTGAACGTGATGACGCGCTTTTGTCGTAGAGCCCCCCCCCCCCCCCCACCCCCACCCCTCGCTCTACGCCAAACAAGGCTGTGATGACGCGTGTGGATAGAACTGCCTACTAATTCGGTCCAAATTTTAATTAATTCATAAAAAAATAATTAGGCGACCAATTAAGTCAAATTGAATGTCACGATGCATTGTCTTCAAGTCTTGACCCACGTACCAACTACGAACCGTATCTGTAAGTTAGAAGTGCCTGCAATTTCACACGGGCGTTTCGATCTAGACAGACAGTCTGACGAGGAAGTGAGTTAAATAAAAACTTGTAAAAATACAAACGTGTAGTTAGGAAAAATACCGTAAAAAACATTTTTCTATTTAAGTTTATAGACATTGATTTTATAATTTTGTGTAAGATGGCATCAATTTTTAATTAAATTAAAAAAATCCTTTATAATAATAAATGAACTGAAAATAAGAAAATAAAATAAACCTGCGTTGTTTAAAAAAAACGGTGACCACTCATAATATCTCGTACATATTTTAAAATTCTATTCATTATGATCAAAAGTAGTAATAAAATAAATAATTGAAACAATGCAGCTAAAAAGAATTTAAAAAATTAAAAAGTAGAAGTTAAATTAAAAGTAAAACCCGATTTATTATTATAGCACCATTTTAAATAGTAAAATTATGAATATCATTAGCCCCTTTATCTATTATTTTAGGCTGATAAATCTATTTATCTATCTATATACTATTAAGGCTCAAGTTGTTTACAAGTTTGTATATTTATTTGTTTGTCTGTTTTGTTGCATGAGAGATTCTACACTATATGTAGAACTATAAAACACGTATTTATGTAGAGAATAATGTAATTTTTTTTACCAAATTGTTAATCACAAATTGGTTTAAAGACGTTAATTAATTAATTGATATATTCATTAGTGGAAACACCACTTTAATTATAAAAGTTAAGAAAAAATATATTATTTATAATGACGTACTTGATTCATTTATTTTTTAGCAACGAACGTAAAGGATTCTTTGTCAGCTATAGCTTCAACGATACGTCTGTTTCTATTTTATTAGGATTAAACACTATTATTAATTTTCAAGGGGGCAGTATCACCCAGACAGTGAAAAATTGATGAAAAAAATTGCCAAAAAAACTATTAAACATACACCCATAATTTTTTTACCACAATAGTTATTATCAAGGAGCTATAAAACAGCACATAAAAGAAAGTCAATATATGATGAATACATTTTTTATAAATAATTTTCCTCAAAATTTTTAATAAGAAATTTTGGGCTGCGGTTTTCAAACAGTTAGGCCCTTTCTACTGAAAATAATCAAGGTGATGCATAACATGGTAGCCTACCGTTGGAACTAGAAGATATTCATTGTGACAAATTTTGAACTTTTTAGAATTTTTCACAGTCAGACAATCTGGAGGGACTTTTGAAATTTTCTAAAACTTTTTAAAAATGTTTATTTAATTTTAAATTTTTAATGCACAGTGGGAATTCTTAAAACCCGCGATTGGTTCTAATTCATTATTATTGATTTGAATTAAGGTTTTGTTAATTTATTCATTTATTATTCAAATGAGGTTCGAGCTCAGAAAATAGGATGAAAAGAAATCGGTGTTTTTAAACGACAAAAACATGTAAGTGGAGGTGTCTTCTTTCTACATAAGAATGATAAAGTTGACTTTCGGGACTTGACGGGACACGGGGCAGGTGAAGTAGAGTTCACCTGTTTCTTTGACCTCAGTATATGAAGGGATAGTGGGGTAAGACCCATTCTCAGCCGAAATCGATGTTTTTAAAAGACAAAAACATGTTGTCTGAGGTGTGACTTCTTTTAGAATGTATGATCTGGCTTTTTGTGACCGTAAGGGAAATGGGAAAGAATAAAATCGTCAAATAAACGTGACGCGCTTTATAGACGACCCCCGAAACCCACATTTATCCATGGTTAACAGGTAGTCTAGTATATAAAGTCTATATATATATCGAATTAAATTTGCACCGCTGCACTGGTACTGAAAACTTCGCACCACATGTGTATTAAAAGAGCTATAATGGCGGCATAGGGTCATACGTTGTTGTAAAATAAATTATTAAACAATACAGCTTTATTGGGTTTTAAAATAAAAATAACAAGTAAAACCTGATTTTAGCAGCATTTTATATTATGAAAATATCTAATAATTTCAATATATCCTTAGCCCCGTTTCTATTTCAGAAAAATAAATAAATACTCAATAGGTAAATAAAAAGTCTATAATAAGACTATTGGCGGAAGTAGAAAAAAAGGTCCCCGCAAAAAATTTTTTGGGCCCCTGTATATATATATATATATATATATATATATATATATATATATATATATATATATATATATATATATATATATATATATATATATATATATATATATATAGGCCCTATATATATGGAAAACAAGCGACGCTCTCAAAAAGTTTTATTTACTCGAGTATTTTTTCCATCTGGTACAGTGTACCAGGTACACGAATAAAACAGGTTTTCCAACACGTTAGCTGGCCCCATTCAGTTTTCAAAGTGAGAAGCACAGACTCTCTAAATCTACTCCAACACACCAAACTGACGCCGATTTTTATGATGTTTTCATCAAAACGTTAACAATCGTGTATATATAGACGTATGCCCTGTTTTCCAGAAGTTTATTTAAATGTGAACAATGTCGACAGTTCATTTCTTGGATCTTAGTTGTTGGGGCGCGGGTTTGTCCACACTACCAGCGAGACACAACAAGGCATGATGTTAGTCCTCGGCGACGACCCAGGGGTTAGGGGAGTCACGGGGCTCTTTGGAGCTACCGGTTGATGGGTGCAACACAGTTTTCTTCCAGGCATTTCTCAGCCCGCCCCCCGAAAATATCAAGTGCTCGAGCCCCCCCCCCCACCCCCGGAAAAAAAGTCAGGAAGAAACACTGGTGCTACACTTGATTAGATTTAGTCATCGAATGTAGTAGCTAGACTTATCCCTAGTGTTGTGTGAACTTTTAAACGACTGTCTGTGGGGCCAACCTGATCATATGTGATGCGCCCAGGATGACACTACCGCCGGTGGATTCAAGTAGTAACCTCATCCACTTACGCAATATCTCGGGGCGCTAAATCACATATTTCCGTTGGGCGTCCCCACTCCAATATGTAAACAAATGTTAGGCCTATGGCAGAAACTTTTGCAGGGCTGTACTCAACAGCTTTCCAACTTTTCATGGCGATCGGATGTATGATGTACAGTGTTTCTTCCAGACTTTTTTCTCCGGGGGGGGGGGGGCACTTGAAATTTCCGGGGGGCGGTAAACTTTCTTCGGGGGGGGGGGGGGCGGACACTGTTAAAAGTATATATTTTCTATATAAAATAAATAAATTTCATTACGTTCGGGGGGGGGGGGGGCGGTAAAAATTTTTCGGGGGAGCTTCGCCCTCCCGAAGAAATGCCTGGAAGAAACTCTGATGATGTAGTAATGCATAAAAGACAGAAACATGTTTTTCACATGTACAACTGTATGTGGCCAGCTCACGCGTCGGATAACCTTCTGAAAAATTTTCTGAAAAAATTTAGGTACTGCATTTACAATAACATTTCATGTAAAAGTAAAAACAAGTAAACTTATAAAACCGAAGTTTCTAGTAATATATTCTTTTTTATTATTTGTAGAATATAGGATAGTACAGGATACAAATTCTACCAATATCACAAACACATATTAACATTGAAAAATGTACAACGGATTTCGTTCCCTTACCAATGCCGCAAAGAAGAACCGCGCATCATGAAAGCCCACTTCTTTTTTGTTTAAAGAATTTTGCCGGCGACAGCGTGTTTGATTGTAGGGAAATATAACTCGGCGTTTACGATGGTTAAAAAAATTCAGTTACAAATAACTTTAAAAAAAATAATTGAAGACAATTTTCGAGCCTCGTATTTGGTCTCCATCCCCTGCCCCATCCGCCGCAGTACACTTTGGAGGATCGGTCAAACAGTTACGTGTCCTCTATTTGGCTATCAAAGGGGAGCAACACGTCACAGAAGTTATTAAAATTTGAAGTTTTGACGATATTTTATAGTGCAGTTTGTGTAATGGATTTTAATTATTGCGGATGAACGTGGTATATTGACTGTAAAATAAAGATAATCGTACCGCAGCTGCAGTATTTTTCTTATACAAACCAAATATAAAGCCAAAAATGCACGAAAATAAAATTCAAATTTAAAAAAAAATTATTGTTTATTGTCGGCTTTGAGCCCTAAACGGCCTGCCCCCCCCCCCCCCCCCCCCCGGATTGCGGGGTCTGGCGGCACTGTAGTTCCGCCCCTGAACAATACACACAATTGTAGTAACGATTGAGGCAGCGCAACGTATTTAAATTATGAAGACCTGAAACTGGAGGAAATGAAGTGGCGTCGATAGACTATACACAAATTTGAAAAGTTGAAAACAATTTGAATGATCATGCAATTAAGCCAGAGGGTGCACGACGACCTTCATTTAATCATAATCCTCTATTGTGCGGAAAATGGATCTTATCGGCGAACGCGTTTGTATACCGGGC